CCCCCTACATTGGTTTTTTTTTTTTTTTTTTTTTTAAAGGTAAATTGTGCATTTTTCTATAACAATTCAGACTTTTTTTCCCAGCACAGAATTTTAAAAAAGTAATTGCAACTTTTTCTCTCTTAATTTTAACTTTTTTTTCGCAATTCTGACAGTTTTGAAATTCTGAGGAAAAAAGTCTAGATTGCGAGATATAAACTTCATCAAAATTGTAGTAGATCATAGTAGAAAAATAACAGTATTATTAAAAAGTTGATTTAAGTTGAACTATTTGAATGTTTGTATTAACTTGTTGAATCCGTTTTAATTTCAGTTTTTGGTGTGTAGTTAAATAATTAATTTTGGTGCATCACTAATTTTATTCTATCCGAACACAGTTTCCACCTTCCAGTCTTGGTTTCTCATCCTTTCTCTCTCTCTCTCTCCCCTCACACTCTCTCTCTCTCCCCCCATACAGACTCCAAGGGGATCTCCATTCACTGAGATCACATGACCATCAGCCTCATCGGTTCCCCGTCCCCCCCGATGTCCTTGTACCGTCTCGCTCCATTACCAGCGAAGTCTAGACCAGCCGTCCCAGCACGCGTGCCACTGCGCCGCCCACTCCGTGGGACGCTCCACCGCTCTGCACCGCTCCTACTCGACGCAGGTCTAGATTTCCTCACCTCCAACCCCTCATCCTCCATATTCCTCCATGCTTATGTCATTTCTTTTAATGCGGTGCGCTGTCGCCCTTTCTACGTAAAAATCAGTCAAATCATGTAACGTGACTGTCATACAGTATCTTACTCGAGAAAAAAAAAAAACGGGTTGAAAGCGTTTTCAGAAAGCCGGCGGTTATGAAAACATGAATGTTAATTTCTTTTAATGCGGTGCGCTGTCGCCCTTTCTACGTAAAAATCAGTCAAATCATGTAACGTGAATGTCATACAGTATCTTACTCGAGAAAAAAAAAAACGGGTTGAAAGCGTTTTCAGAAAGCCACGGAAGAGACACTGTTTCTCAAGCGCGTTCTGTGAGTGCGATTCGAGACGGAGTGAACACGGACAAAGGCGTTTCATTTATTCATAACTCGTAACTCCACCCCCCGCCAACATAGTTTTGCGTAGGGCCCCCAGAAGTCTAGGATCGGCACTGCTTAGGAGACATTCTTGTCTACAACCGCTTCGGCGTCGAAACATTGGAGGACTGATGACAGCTTGCTCAGGGTGGGTCTAAGGTAAAACGCTAAATCCGTTTTAATTTCAGTTTTTGGTGTGTAGTTAAATAATTAATTTTGGTGCATCACTAATTTTATTCTATCCGAACACAGTTTCCACCTTCCAGTCTTGGTTTCTCATCCTTTCTCTCTCTCTCTCTCCCCTCACACTCTCTCTCTCTCCCCCCATACAGACTCCAAGGGGATCTCCATTCACTGAGATCACATGACCATCAGCCTCATCGGTTCCCCGTCCCCCCCGATGTCCTTGTACCGTCTCGCTCCATTACCAGCGAAGTCTAGACCAGCCGTCCCAGCACGCGTGCCACTGCGCCGCCCACTCCGTGGGACGCTCCACCGCTCTGCACCGCTCCTACTCGACGCAGGTCTAGATTTCCTCACCTCCAACCCCTCATCCTCCATATTCCTCCATGCTGCCAATAGGGCCTCCACAAACCGCTCAAACAAACCACGAGACACACTTTTAGAGAGCCTGCTCGGAGATCCCGAACGCCTGCACGAAAGCCAGAAATCACAGGTAGGCGTCTCTCTTTTGCCAGAGAGTTTGTTTGGACTGTGGATGGAGGATTCGCACCTGTTCAGACCTCTCAAAACCAACCCGACCTACTTCCTGGGGAACCGATGAAGAAGTCTTGATCAGCTTTTGGCTGAAATTCAGAACTCTGGCTGCAATTTTTACTGCAGTGTCAATTCATATGTAAATACATGCACTGTTTTGTTTTGTTGTTTTTGGCATTTTGGTTAAAGGCATGTCTGTTTTGTTCCTTTTTGTTCATTAGGGTGACCATGCGTCCTCTTTTTCCCAGACGTGTTTATAAATTGCATAAAATGTCTGGGTTTTGGCTTTGTTTTCCTATTGTTTTCATACTTGCTGAAGGTAATGACTGAAAAGTACTTTGACCAATAGCATGCAGGCGTTGTATAAAATCGGCCAATCGTGGCGTGCAAGAAGGCAGGATCTACAGAGAACATCAAAGCAATGCAAATACATATACATATAATGTATGATAATATACCCCAACCCTATCCAGCATCGAAACAATGGTGGACTGATGACAGGTCACTCAGGGTGGGTCTAAGGTAAAACGCTAGTGTCAATCAACAATCGTGGGAGTGGCCTTGGTCTGTGTGATGTCACTCAAGAATCTGAGAATGGCTTGATTTGAAAAAGGGGATATTATTTATCTGGATTTTTAAAAAACCAATGGGTGGATTTTTATCATTTTGGGGTGGATGTGTACACTGCCAACACACATTTCAGTTCAAACAACATGTAAAAGTGAATTTTGCATCCAATGACCCCTTTAAGAAATCA